GGCACCGCGCCGTGCCCCCCCCGCCATGGCCCGCCATGACACCACACTGTCCCCGGGACACCCCGTCCCCACGCCACCCCGTCCCTGGGATGTCCCATCCCCGTGCCACCCCGTCCCCATCCCATCCCGGTGATGTCCCATCCTCGTGCCACCCTGTCCCCACGCTATCCCATCCCTGTGATGTCCCAGCCCCATGCCGTCCCATCCCCATGTCCCTTGTCACCACACCAACCTGTCCCCATGCCACCCACCCCTGTGCCACCCCACCTCCATGCCACCCGAACCCCAAGCCACCCCCGCCCCATGCCACCCTATGCCCAGGCCACCCAAGTGCCACCCCATCCCTGTGTCACCCCACTCCACTGCATCCCCCTGCTACCTTGTCCCCGCGACATACAGTCCCTGTGACACGAGGTTCCTGGGTGACCCTGTCCCTGTGACACCCCCCATCCCTGTGCTCTCCTGTCCCCATGCTACCCTGTGCCAACCATCCTGGTGCCACCTTGTCGCGGTGTCGTCCCATCCCTGTGTCACCCTGTCCCATTGAATCCCTGTGCCACCCTCTCCACGTGCTGCCCCCTCCCACTGGGTGACCCTGTCCCTGTGACACCCCCCATCCCTGTGCTCTCCTGTCCCCATGCTACCCTGTGCCAACCATCCTGGTGCCACCTTGTCGCGGTGTCGTCCCATCCCTGTGTCACCCTGTCCCATTGAATCCCTGTGCCACCCTCTCCACGTGCTGCCCCCTCCCAGTGCCCTGCGCCCTCCAGTCCCCATGACACCCTGATGTCACCCTGTCCCCCTGCCACCCCATCCCAGTGCCAGCTCATCTTGGTGCCACCCTGTCCCATTGCATCCCTGTGCCACCCCATCCGTGTGCTGTCCCATCCCAGTGCCCTCCAGCCCCTGTGTCACCCCGATGCCACCCTGTCCCCATGTCACCCCGTCCTGGTGCCACCCTGTCCCCTGGCCACATCATCCCAGTGCCCTCCAGTCCCCATGTCACCCCATCCCAGTGCCACCCCATGCCAGTGCCACCCTGGCTCATTGCACCCCTGTGCTAACCCATGCCAGTGCCACCCTATCCTGGTGCCACCTTGTCCCGGTGCCACCCTGTCCCGGTGCCCTCCAGTTCCCATGACACCCCGATGTCACCCTGTCCCACTGCCACCCCATCCCAGTGCCAGCTCATCTTGGTGCCACCCTGTCCCATTGCATCCCTGTGCCACCCCATCCGTGTGCTGTCCCATCCCAGTGCCCTCCAGCCCCTGTGTCACCCCGATGCCACCCTGTCCCCATGTCACCCCATCCCGGTGCCACCCTGTCCCCTGGCCACATCATCCCAGTGCCCTCCAGTCCCCATGTCACCCCATCCCAGTGCCACCCCATGCCAGTGCCACCCTGGCTCATTGCACCCCTGTGCTAACCCATGCCAGTGCCACCCTATCCTGGTGCCACCTTGTCCCGGTGCCACCCTGTCCCGGTGCCCTCCAGTTCCCATGACACCCCGATGTCACCCTGTCCCACTGCCACCCCATCCCAGTGCCAGCTCATCTTGGTGCCACCCTGTCCCATTGCATCCCTGTGCCACCCCATCCGTGTGCTGTCCCATCCCAGTGCCCTCCAGCCCCTGTGTCACCCCGATGCCACCCTGTCCCCATGTCACCCCATCCCGGTGCCACCCTGTCCCCTGGCCACATCATCCCAGTGCCCTCCAGTCCCCATGTCACCCCATCCCAGTGCCACCCCATGCCAGTGCCACCCTGGCTCATTGCACCCCTGTGCTAACCCATGCCAGTGCCACCCTATCCCGGTGCCACCTTGTCCCGGTGCCACCCTGTCCCGGTGCCCTCCAGTCCCCATGACACCC